AGTCCCACATGTGTAAATACCGAATAGTTTCCCTGGTGTGAATATTCTGCAACAATGCATAAGATTCTAATAAGATTACTGACATTTAGAAATGGGAGGAAAGGAGCTAAAGATGTAGGGAAGGTGTGATACGTAGGGGAAGAACAAAAAGGGAAAAGAAAAAAATGTGAGAGAATGAAAAGATGAAAATAAAGTGTTTGTAGATGGGGAGGGGAGGAGGGGGTGAAGGGAGGGCAGAGGTAAGGGGAAAAAAATGAGAATCAAGACTTGCCATGTAAAGGTACATGATCCCAACAATAAATGTAACTGTACTGTATCCCTAAATGTACCAATAAACTCAAAAAAAAAAAAAAAAAAAAAGAAAAGAAAAGTAAATCCATGTGTACATATGGTCAATTAATTATTTGACATGCATGCTAATTCAATAGGATAAAATCATTTCATTATACAGTGCACAACAGTTGAAGAGCCATGTATAAAAAAATGAACCTCTACCTTTTAACTTAAATAAAAATCAATTCTGAGCAGTTCATAGACCTAAATGTAAGAGCTAAAACTTTAAAATAAAATTCAAAAGAAAACACAAACTAAGTGACCCTAGTTTGGTGAACATTTCTTTAATGAGACAAAAACCATAAAAAGAAAAAAATGAATAAGTTACACTTCAATAAAATTAAACTTTTGCTCCTTAAAAACTGCAAAAATGAAAAGTCAAGCTACAGGCTGGGAGAAAGTACAAAACACACCTCACACAGTAATTGTATCTAGAATATATGAAGATTTCTGAATAGTTCATTATTAATAAGACAACCCATTTATTAAAAAGGAGCAAAAGATTTGAACTGACAGGTCACTAAAGAAGATACATTGCTGGTGGGAATATAAAATGAATACAATCACTTTGGACAATAATTTGTTCATTTCTTTAGAAATGAAACACATTTATCATACTACCTAGCCATTTGATTCTTTAGATGTTAGCCTAACATAGATTTTCATTTTATTTCATACATAAAGAATTGGACAGGGGCCAGGGATTTAGCTCAGTGGTTCAGTGGCCTGCCTTGCAAGCACAAGGACCCAAGTTCAATCCCTGGTACCAAAAAAAAAAAAAAAAAAAACAGAATTGGACAGAAGGGCTGGGGATTTGGCTCAGTGGTCCCACTGCCTACCTCACAAGCACAAGGACCCAAGTTCAATCCCCAGTAATTTAAAAAAAAAAAGAAAAAGAAAGAAAGAATTGGACACAAATGTTTATAACAACTTTATTTTCAGTTACCCAAAACTAAAAACAACCCAAATGTCAATTAGCAGATGCATGGATAAATTTTAGTACAGCATTAGGTGGAATACAACTCAACTAATGGATTACAATAACAGAATGAATTAATCTCAGTTATGCTGAGTGAAAAAAAAAAGACAACATAAAATCTTAGAAAATTATAGACTAATCCCGAGTGATAGAAAACCAGGCCATGACCATAGTTGCATACAGTATAGGGACAGGAAGGATTAAGTTACAGTAGAGTTTAAGGAATCTTGAGGAACTGCTGTATTTGTCAAAACTCATCAAATTTTATATTTAATTGCAGTTTCACTTCTGTCAATTATACATCAGTAAAACTAGAGCAAATAGTAAAATAACAAAATAATATTATGCTGTTTAGATTTCATTTGATAGTGTTACTTTAGAAATTGATGTTTAATATTGAAATATTTACTTAAGTGATGCTTCCATTATAAAAAGCCAATTTTTGATTACTTCATTGTAACTAGAAGTATCTTGATATTCACTCGAGGTTTTTCTTAGGTATTCTTTCCTCATTTAAATCATCTCATATAACCACCTTTAAAGGTTAAACTTTTGGAGGGAAACTTTAGCCTATGTGATGAATATATTCATTCTGCCATTCAATATTCAAAATAATAGGACAATATTTGGAGATTTTTCATACTTTTATTGTGCCATTTTTTTTTTCCTTGTGCCTGAAACATGATGGGTGGCAATTAACAGGTCACTTTAAATTTGAATGCTAACCATGTAGAGCCTAAAATTCAAGTCTGTAAAGGAGAAGTAAAGTATAGTATATACACATAAATGTTTCTAATAATTGTAGAGAGTAACCCTTATAAGCAGAATTATAATGAATGGGAAAGAACAGAGAGAAGTAAATGAGATAATTATTATTGGATGAGGTAAACTGGGATAGACTTCAGAGCAGGGAATAAGCGGTTTTGAATCCAATACATTAAGTAGTAGAAAGCTAGTACAGGATTTGATACAAGCAAACCTAGTCAGGATGACTCTTTCTTACTGTGACATTTAAAATCGATTGCCAGCCGTGGTGGCACATGGCTGCAATCCGAGCACTTGGGAGGCTAAGGCAGGAGGATTGCTGTGAGTTCGAAACCAGCCTGGGCTACATAGTGAGTTCCAGGTCAGTCTCAACTACATAGTGAGACCCTGTCTCAAAAAACAAAACAAAATAAAATCCAGGGTACAAGAAACAGGAAGCAGAGTTTTAAAAGGCACAAATTTTTAAAATTAAGGATGTAAATATAAACACTAAACAAAAGGTAAGGTGTAAAATAAAAGAATGGTTTAGGAAAGAAGGGTATATAAGAGCTGGGCAAGGTGGTGCACGCCTGTAATCCCAGCACTCTGGAGGCTGAGACAGGAGGATAGAGGATTACTGTGAGTTCGAGACCAGCCTTGGCTACATAGGGAGTTCCAGGTCAGTCTCAACTACATAGTGAGATCCTGTCTCAAAAAAACAACAAAAAAAAAAAGAAAGGTATATAAGTAATGAAAGCAACTTTAATGGGATTCACAGAGTATAGCCAAAACCAGCAATTTGATTTTATGCCCTGAAAGCTGAGATGATTGTTTTTGGAAAGCAACCCTATACTAGGTTTATATTCAATTACAGTGATCAGATTTTTATTTGACCTACATTAAGAAATTCTACATCATGGGGCCAGGGATTTAGCTCAATGGTTCCACCGCTTGTCTTGAAAGCACAAGGTCCTGAGTTTGATCCCCAGTAACAAAAAAATTTTACATCATCACATCGTAAATAAATAGTATCTGTATTTACATATGTAACAGAAATTCCATGGATCAGTGGATGATACACTCTAATGCTTCCTATCCTATTTCTTTTTTAACAGATTTTTGACTGTGACCAACTAAAATGATTTTACAGAACAGAGTATTAACACAATTTGAAAAATACTACCCTAGAAAAGCATTGGCACCTGTAGCACAAAAAAATATAATAGTCATTATAATATTGTAATGAAAAATTATAAATAATCCTGCTCACTGGAGAAATAGATTATGTCGTATATTCAGTAAAATATAGTACAATGGTAAAAAAAATTTAAGAAACTAGATCTACATATATTGTATGAATAATATGAAAAACATGTTAACGGGTGGTACACACCAGTAATCCCAGCATTCAGGAGGCTGAGACAGTAGGATCACTGCAAGTTTGAGTCCAGCCTTGGAGTTCAAGACCAGCTTGCACTGTAGTGAGACACTGTCTCACAAAACAAAACAAAATTAGCAAGCTGTAGAACATTAGCTACATGTAAATTTTTTTAAGCATGTAAATAGAATACTGTTGGTGATTATTAAAATGAATGTAAATATAAAAACATAAATGATTTAGATACTGAATTCAAAGTGGAAGTTCATTTTTTGAGTAAGAGCAAAGGCAATGAGCTCCTCACAGGTACATGGGAGGCTACTTATTGATTCTGTTTCTTAAAAAGGAACTGATGGGCCGGGGATTTAGCTCAGCGGTTCGGTGGCCTGCCTTGCAAGAGCAAGGACCCGAGTTCAATCCCCAGCCAAAAAAAAAAAAAAAAAAAAAAAAAAAATGAAATCTGGCAAAATATGCTAAGGTTAAGTGGAAGTCCTTAGATATTATACCGTAAAGTAACATTGTGTAATAATAAAGTTTTCAAACTTGTACTATAATATACATGAAAAGAAACTGAAAGAATCTGCTACTTTTCCCTAATCCATTTCTAGTATAGTAAAAATGAGTAGCATACTTTAATCCAAAATTTCTGGCTTAAAACTTTTGTATGTCTACTCTCTCTCAATAGCTTTGCTATATGAAGACACTGAGAATTAAACGAACTGAGATGTGATCTGATTAGTGTTTATTTAGCACTTTGTATTTTACTAAACTATTTCCTATTTTGGGAGTTCAGTTACTGTGTGTGTGTGTGTGTGTGTGTGTCAGAGTGTTACTAAGTTGTCTAGCCAGGAATTGAACTTGCAATTTTCCATATGCTACTATACCAGGCTGTAATTTGTGTTTTAATCACATTCAGTCAGCCAACAGATGGGACTAGTGTCGTCCTACTCTTTCAAATTGTTATAGTCAGGCCAAAGTGGGGCACACACTTATTATCCCAGCGTTCTGGAAAGTTGAAGCAAGATGATAGAAAAACCCTGGGTTCAGTCCCTAGAATGGGGTGGGGGAATGTTTTAAGCAAAATCATCTTACCCTCTGTGTTCAAATGCGAGGATACTAGAGACTCCTCTGAGTTGCTGCTGATTTTGGAATCTTTACTGTATTGCTCATTCTTTGAAAGTAGAAAATGTATTTCAAGGGGCCAGGTATTTAGCTCAGCGGTTTGGTGGCCTGCCTTGCAAGCACAAGGACCCAAGTTCAATCCCTGGTACCAAAAAAAACAAACAAACAAAAACAAAAACGAAATGTATTTCAAACATTTTTGCCATTATGATGTTTGAATAATGCACTTAATTATGTGTTGAAAGATTGATCATCATGACTCTGAATCCCATGGTTTGATTTCTGCAAATGCTTCTATTTGTACATGTTGACTAGTAACATGACCCTTTCTCTCCCATATTTAGCGATTTGGAATCTAGAAGAGAAGTAAAAAAAGAAGAAGGTGAAGCTTTTGCACGAGAACATGGGCTTATCTTCATGGAAACTTCTGCTAAAACTGCTTCCAATGTAGAAGAGGTAAATAATAGGCCCTTTTGAATGTTCCTTACCTTTTCATTTAATAGAAATGTTGCCTATAACTTAACATTTATTCATTGGTGTTTATTTCATAAGTTACTAGTCTGTGATAGTGTTTGCATATCATAAATTAGAAAAATTTATTCCCTTTGAAGTACCTTTTAATGTTCATCTACCAGACTCCTAAATTATATTCAGAGTCTTCTCTTGAAGCCTATGTGCATTAGCACATGTACATATATTATTGCTATGTAACATACAAAGCATGGCAATTCTGCCTTTAATAAAGGAAGTGCACATCTCAATCACTCGCATTGTTTAACTTGAACTATTGGACATTTTTTGAACATGACGTGCTTTTATTCTGTATGTATTTGAATATAATGTTCACGCAGATGATTAGACAGTTAATCCTCTCTAAGATAAATAGAAAAGAGATGATTCATCAAAAGTAGAAATGAGGCTAACAAGTAGTTTCCTCAAAGCAGTGTTTAATTTCCACCTTCTAGTCAAGAATACCTTATAAAAGCAGCTGCAGAAAGGAGTTCTAGAATCAGAAATTTTTTAACAATTATTCATTTTTAATCTTAAATCATATTCAGAGATTTAAGTTTAATTTTTAGATTGCAGAACAATCGTCCAATTGAGTAATAGTCAAAAAATTTCTGATTCTGGGAAGATGGAGTAGACTGACTTTTCCTTATTTCTCCTGCTAAGTGCAACTAGAACCTGAATATTATGTATAAACCAAATACAAAAGAAAGCAGACATCTGTGGACCTTGGTATCTGAAGAATCACACAACATTAATTTCCCTTGGTTTTTATTTTTGCATCATATTCTAGAATGTGTGCTAGAGAAACTAACAAGCTAGAAAGACCAGAGAGCACAAAGAAAGAAAAGCCTGCTCTACCCAGACCAGGAAAGGGGCATCCTGATAAGATGGCACTTAAAATTCTACTAAATACAGGAATCACAGGAAAACTGAGGTGCCACATTCACCTAGGCTGCAAGGAGCTTTTCCTACCATCTCCTGCTCCCAGCATTAATGAAGTATGACCACCAATACCAGTTCCCTGTTACAGTCGTGTCAGCGAAAGCCAGTTAAAGCAGAGGTTTAAACATGATCCAGTAAACCCCTGGTTTTAATCCCCAGTGCTATAAAGTACAAAAATAAATAATCTTAAACTGTAGAGAAAACAGACTGAAAACAAGTGAATATAGGGACATGTGGTAATATACTATTATGCAATGTGTCATCAGTCTTAGAAAGAGAAAGCTTTGAAAAAATACTCCAAAGTATGTGCTGAAAACTTCCTAGATGTGGTTTTAACATAAACAAAAACAAAAACAAAAAAAAGGTGGCAAGAAGAAGGCACCTACCAATTCAAGTTGAGCCAACCCCAAACAGGATATACCCAAATAAATCTACGAAACAAACCTCTATATGGTCAAATTTCTGAAAAAGAAAGATTAAAAAAAAAACTTGAACAAGAAACAGCACCCTACCTATAGGAAAAAATAATAATAATAATAATAATAATTCATCAGCTATTTCATCCAAAACCTTGGAGGCCAGAAGGAACTGGCACAGCAATTTTCAAGAGCTGGAAGAAAAGAACTATCAGCCCAGAACCTTATACTCTGCAACAGATCTTTCCTTGTAGGAGCAATCACAGCATTATCAAATAAAGAAAAACGTATGAGAATTTGTCAATAGCAGATCTACCATATGAGAGTGGTTAAAGGAAATTAATGCATTCACACTGGCTTGAACTACCAGTGGTACATGCATGACTATTCCATTGGGAGGCTTGTGCCACTGATGGTAGAAGTGATACAATCATGCATGGAACAGTCATGCATGTAGCACTGGTGGTTCAAGCTACCAGGAAGCAAGACATGAATTACATCTATGTCATTAACATGTTAATGGAAATGAAGTGCTAAAAGAGAGAAATCTTGGAGCACTATATTAGAAAAATAAGTAAAATATAGACAAATTTTGATTCCTAATTGTATTTGGTGGTTAAAGCAAAAATTGTATTAATGTCTGATATGATTATAAATGTACATAGAAATACTATAAACTATAGAGGATGAAGGGATGTCAAGACTGGTCAAGTTTTTACACTTGGTTTGGTTTGTTAAAATGACAACAGTAGCAGTTGGGAATTTAGCTCAGTGGTTCTGCTGCCTGCCTTACAAGCGCAAGGTCCTCAGTTCAATCCCCAGTACCAAAATGAAAAATGACAACAGTAGCCAGATATGATAGCACATACCTGTAATCCCAGCATTCAGGAGGTTGAGGCAAGAGGATCACCCTGAGTTCAAGGCCAGCCTGAACTACATAGTAATCAATCAAATGCAATAGATTGTGATAAGATATATCTTGTGTGTATGTACATGTATGTGTATATACATGCAAAATATGTGGCGCTACCTACCACTTAAAAAACTGTGTAGAGACTGACTATAAGAAAACAGTAGGTAAGTCAATTAGGAATACTAACAAGTATTAATTCACCAGAAAACATGGGAAAGAAAACAAAGTAAATGGACAAATACAAGCTTTCATGTATCAGTAATTAATATAAATGATCTAATTACACCAATCAAAAGGCACATTGGCAGAGTATTAAATAAAGTGACTCAGCCATAAAGTGCGAGAAATTCATGTCAAATGTAACAGTACAGGCAGATTGGAAATAAAATGACAGGAAAAGATAATATCATAAAAATTAATCAAAAGCAGGACTGGCTATATAAATATCAAAGTATGCTTCAGAGAAAAAAGAAACAGTAGGTTCATAGTGATAAAAGAATCAGTTCATCAGGAAGATGTAACAGTCCTAAATCTTTATCTGCCACATACAGAGCTGTGACATATGTGAAACAAAAATTAATAGAATTGAAAGGAGAAATAGACAAGTCTAAAATTATGGAGACTTCATTAGTCATTAGTACCAAGACTGCATCAATAAAAATATCCGAAGATTTAAAATACTGAAAGTCATACAGAGTATATTCTCCAATCTTAGTGAAATTAAGCTAGAAACCAGCAACAGATAACTGGAAAAATCTATAAGCACTTGGAAATTAATACACTTCCAATCTGTGTCAAACAGGAAGTCTCAAAGAAAAACACTTTTTGAACTGAATGAAAATCAAAATACAACACATCAATTTAGGGGTCATAGTTAAAGCAGATGCATGAGAATGAATGTTATAGCATTAAATATCCACAATAGAAAGAGGAAAAGTCTGAAGTCAATAATCTTAATTCCTGCCCCAAGAACTCAACACAAAATAAAATGCAAAATAGAAAAATTAGAAGAAATCAATGTAATTAAAAACAAAAATCAGAGAAACAGAGCTGAGTTTTTAAAACATCAATAAAATTGACAGACTTCAGGCAAGACTGACAAAATACAGATTACCAGTATCAGTAACAAAACAAAGATCCCCTGTAGATCCTTCAGACAATAAGTGAATGTTATAAACGGCTCTACCTGCAGAAATATAGTAATTTAGGCGAATTTTATCTTTTCCTCCCAAACTACTACAACCCATCCAGTGTGAAAATTTAATTAGATTTTTTCCAGCCAATAAGACTAAATTTTCATAAGGAGGCCAGCCCAGCAGCTTCATTAAGGATGCAGTTTCCTTCCATCCTGTTCCACTCTGTTCAACCAACTGGTCTTTCGATTACAAGGTAGCCACAGTTACTGAGGTGTCCCCTGGTCATACAGTAACATCACGACACTTAAATGTGGGTTTGTGAACTCCAGAAAAGAGAAAATAAGCTAACCCAGACTTCTGACTTCCTAATGGAATTATCCAATCCTTGTGAAACAAAAGTAGATAAGAATTATTGAACACTTGAGTGTTTTTGCCAGATCTAGTTTTCTTTCTTTCTTTTTTTTTTTTTTTTTTTTTCTTCTTTCTCTCCCCCAGTCAGGGTCTCACTGAGTTGCCCCAGCTGGCCTTACTTGTGCTCCTCCTGCATCAACCTCCCAATTATGTGGGTTTACAGGCATGTGCTGCCATGCCTAGCCACATCCAGAATTTCTTGACTACATATCTTTCATTATGATTTATCTTACTAGGCAAAATGTAAGAGAGTTTGTTAGGAAAATCAATGGTAAATGAAAAGCTGCCTGGGTTAAGGTGTAGGAGAAAGGGTATAGAGTTTGCAGGCTCTCTCCAGGTTCATCGCCATTCAGGAACCTTAAAAGTGTTCAGCTACCTAGAAACCCTTGAGATAATTAATTTGAATTGCCCTGTAAACTGTTAAGGAATTCATAGTTTTAAAACTTCTCCAAATAAGAAATTTCTGGATCCAGAAAGTTTCACCCAAGAATTTTACCAGATGTTGAAGGAAGGAATAAATACCAATTCTCGACCATCTTTTCCAGAAAATACAAGATATATACCTATATATTTTATGAAACTAATATTGCCCCAGACTGAAACCAAAAATAGTACAAAAAGGAAACAAACAGACCAGTAGCCTGTATGGATACATAAAAATCTTCAGCAGCCAGATGTGGTGGTGCACACCTGTAATCCCAGCACTCGGGAGTCTGAGGCAGGAGGATTGCTGTGAGTTCGAGACCAGCCTGAGCTACATAATGAGTTCCAGGTTAATGTCAACTACATAGTGAGACCCTTTCTCAAAAAACAAAAAAAAAAAACAAGATCTTCAACAAAACCCCAGCAAATAGAATTTAATTGTAATATAGGTATGTATGTATGAATGTATGTATAAAATACATCATGGCTAAAATATGCAAAGCTTATATATTGCAAATATGGAAAGCTTCTTCAGTATTAAAAAATGAATCAGGATAAGCCAGATGTGGTGATGTGTACATGTAATCCCACTTAGGCTGAGGTAGAAGGAGGCTGAGTCAGGAGGATCACAATTGAAGGCTAAGCTGAGAAAATTTAGCAAGGTTCTGTCTTAGAATTTTTTTTTAAAGGGCTCAAATGGCCTAT